TATTTAGAAATATATATATATATATCTTTTACATATTGTTTTCGTTAACGGATGACATTTTTGTCACTTTTGTGCCAAAAGGGAGAAATTGAACTTTCTTTCAAAGAACTTATCTCTAATCTTAATGAACATCTGGATATCTAACCCATCTGTACATCCCATCAGATGACATAAATCCATGGTTTGTATTGGAAGAGATTTATGCATAAAAAGGGTGATTTCCCCCGATTCCGGGAGTTCTTGGCCAATTTTCTTTAGTTTAGAATCAAGAGTCACTCTCCATCACTTCGCATCTTCCTCCAGCCGACATCTGTAGAACCTCTCTGCTCTTCGCTACCACTGAAGTAGAAGATTCAACCCAACTACAGCAGATTACAGAAGTTCAGATCTTCAATCGAGGTAGTTTATTTTAAATTGATGTAAACTCTCTCTCTCAAGTTCAGATAGGGACTTAGAATTTCCTTATATATTTGCATTTTATTTTTATTTTGTTTCTATTAAATTTTTTTTGTTTCATTAAAATGGCCTTGTTCTTGATTTCAAATATCAGCCAAAACTTATCATGGATCTATGATCCCTCTCACTCAGAAAAGTAATAATTTACTAAATAGCATGCCTAACACTCTAATTAGGATGGTGTCAGGAAAAATCGAAAAGAAGATCATAAGAACTTCCTCTTCTCAAACAAATTTCTACTAAAATTCCATCCAATGACTCTGTGGACAGATTTTTCAGATCTGACGCTGAATATGGGTGACAGACAATGCTCTCTTCGCTCCAGATTCCTACACATTTGATAAACCAGTACTTAAGTTTGTTCATTTTATTTTTACTTCACTGAAGTAGGTCTATGATATTAGTTTGAAAATATTTTGATTTATTAAATTTACTGCTGGAGTTACAAGGTGCTCTGTTTATTTTGTTTCTTATTCTCCAGTTTGATCTTATTTATTTTTTAATTTTATATTTTGTCATTAACAATGCTTATTTGGTTTTACTTTTCGATCATTTCTATTATACATTAAATTAAATTTATTTTACAGATTTTTAAAGGCAATTCTGACCGCTTCAATTTAAAATATAATGATTTTTATAAACCTGTTGTTGGAAGATATTTACGTCTAAATGTTATTTCTTGGAATAACCATCCAAGTTTAAGAATGGAAGTTGTTGGTTGTTATCATTCTTATGGTAAATATTGTATTTCCTTTGTATCATTCTACATATCTTAGATATTGACTTCTTCTCAACATCATACTTTTGCATTATTTTTGATATTAGGAGAAAATATTTTTTTCAAAATATGAGCATAGCTGCATATTTTTTTATTGAAGTAGAGCATTAGTGAAGCTTCTTCTACGAAACTTACAGAATTGTGCTTGTTCTCAAAATTCATTTGATAAATTTTGATTAAATTTTGCCATTTTCCATTAATAGCTATACTGAATCCAAAAATGCAATGAAAAATAGAAGTCCATGACTTTGTTTTTGAGGTATAAGATTGTTTTGTGAATGCACACAATAAAATGATTCCACACGAATTGCATGACTTTGTTGTGTGAAGTTTCACAGTTGCTGGTATATCTTGTACAGACTTATAGAATCAAGTTTGTTCTCAAAATTTGATGGATCAATTTTGATAAAACTTTGTCCTTTTTTCATTAATTCAGACAAGGAATCCAGAAATGCAATGTGGGTCCATTTAAATGTAAAACATCCAGCAATGAATCACTTAACTTTTCTGGCAACATTTAAAATTCTGGTGGCACTATATGTTACAATATTTCATTAAAAAACTGTTTACATTTTTAATTATTATAAAATGGCAAAAAGCTTAATTTTGATAGTAGGGATGAGTTTTATAAAAAAATTGTAAACATTAATAACAAGTAAAATCGTCATTAAGTCAACCATACTCGAGATATGACACGTGACCACCCTTTATCTCTCTACTCTGTTGACCTTAAACTACCAAAATTTAATAGCACAAATCTTTCTAAGACAAAACCTTCCTGCAAAATTTCATAAATTTTCAAAAGCACAGGAGTTATTAAGCTTCATGGAGGGTAAACAAAATAGTACCACAAACATTAACATCCATATATACAGAAAAAAACCCTGAATGTTTTTGCATTTCTCGACATTTCAAGGTTCCTTAAGTCCAAATGTATAAAAATCTTGAGGGGAGTCATTTTTGACCAATTGCCATACTTTCTCTCTGTTGTCTGTAGAGCCAGCAAAATAAAAATAGGAGTCCATGATGATTATGTTTTTGATATACAAAGGTATTACAGTGACAATGTCCATGTTCTCTGATGCAACAAGTGCATCTAACAGAATTTTAGGCCAAGGGGACAAAAATAAAAATAGTATTATGTTCAAAAAATGAACAAAACAATTGATGGCAATTGCTTTGTTCTTGGATTATCTTGTCATACCTAGCAAGGATTGTGTTTACCATGGCTTGCAGGTATGAAGATAGTCTCTTTTGTGGTAGCAAGTGCAAAGTTCACTTGTCCATATTTGTCAGTACCATACAAAATTGCTCTTCTGTGCCTAACAGGTGCAGGGGTCACATCTTTCCTTCTGGCTTTGCTTCAATTCTATCACAATACAACAAAGTTGTGTGATGTCCTATTATCTTAATAGAAATTTTCTTTAGATACTCTGAATTTTTAATTAATGGTGGAGTCATTAGTATCAAAGGAACAAGTTTTGCTCATTTTTATATTTAAATATGTCTCTTTCAATTTAGTTTGTAAACAATTTTGCTAAGAATTTAAATTTTTTTATATCATATAATTTTGAATTCAAATTGAATTAAATATTGTTTTATTTAACGTTTACATTCTAAATGGATAACTAAGCTAATTAATTAGATACAGCATTTTTGAAAATAACATGTTATTTATTAATTTTACTCTCACTTTAATGCAAAATGAATAGAAAATTTCTCAAATTAAATGTTTGTGCTCAATGGATACCGTAGTTAAATTCAATACTTTTTATATTCATATTTTTATAAAAAATGAATTTAAATTATTGAAATATAAAAATATTTTAAATTTTTAATAAAAAGTTTGTATATATAATTGGATTGGATAGAAATTAAAGATAGCTGAAGAATAAGAATATAATTTGTAATCATGCATCAGAATAATGTTTAAGGCTATTAAACTTAATTTTATTGAAATGCAGTGAACCAAGTGAACAAGCTTCCTTGGCAGTGACTCAAATTGACAATTTGCTGAAACATATTTTGTGAAGTAATGTCTTAACCAGTTTGAATGAAATTTTATATGTTAATAGAAGCAATAAAATGGCATGTTGTTACAGTGGTTGAATTTTAAAATTTAACCTAGAATGGGAGATATTAAGGTCAGAGGTAATCTCATGTTAAGCCAATGGGAAAATTTTGCATTGGGAAAACATAAACAAATGAGTGTGTTCTATCCAACATTCAAAATATGGTGAAGCTCTTGCAAAAATTTTTTTTAATATTAATTTTTTTTTCTATTTTTCTTTAAAAATTGACCATATATATTTTAAATTATACATGTTAACATATTTTACCTTGCA